TCACCCTACCACGGAACGGTGCATAGCCTACGTTAAGAGACGGCGTTGTTAACGTAAAGGGCTCCATTAATGAAGCCTCGCGACATGAAGACGTATAGGCAATAGATGGTCCTGAAAAAACAACGTAACACTTAAGGAACTGCAATTTTACGCAAGTCATCGTGAAGAAATTAGGTAAATGTTTCGTGCATAAACAGAGGGCGCAAGAAGTGTCATACACAATCTGCTTGCTGCCTGCTTCATGCTGGTCTATTGTTTGGCTTACTCTCCAACCCTGAAGATGGAGGCGATATTCCTCTGAAATGTCGGTTCACATACACCGGACTACCGGTGTTATGTCCCAGAAGATATAATTATGCATAGTGACCGCTGTGAGAAGCTCAGATCCAACATGAACACAAACAGGATGCAATCTCACAAAATTACAATATGATTTCGCTTCGTAGAAGAAATCATGAAATTAGGAGGGAAAATAATGAGACTGAGGACAAAAGGAAGCCAGAATCAGTTGCGCTGGAGCTGATGATAAAGCAAATTAAGGAACTTTCGGCATAGCAGAACAAGTTTAAGTAGCTGAATTCCGTGCACACTTAGCAAGGTTAGAAGAGGATGGAAGGAGGAGGTCAGTAGTTGTAATAAAGCGGGGTAAGATATAGGACAAGATGACTAATGATCAGAGAAGAAGATTAGGGTCTCTGTTATGTGAACCCCCACCCCAGAGACCTTGATGCGCGTTTGAGAACAGAACCTCAATAGCGTGTGACAGTCAAGCCAATTCTTTATGCATATTTGGTAAAACAACATGAGGCCAGTGTGTTTCCTTCTTCCCTCCATAACGGTCCCTTGATACATAAGTAGCACACAAAATATGAAAACTCTGTCATTCAGCCTCCTCCAGTGTTTGGCACACGGCGAACCGAGCAGCGCGCTGCCGCAGGCGCCGAGCTCAAGAGGAGTATGTCAATTTATAACTGTTGGGTTCTGCAATAAGCGCAATCATATTAAAGGAAAGAGCACTAAATTCTGGGAAGTAAGGCCGTGTAACCGACGTTTCGGAATAATATTCTTCAAGGTTGAAGAGTAAGCCACGTAAGTAACCAATTTGCTCAGCATTCTTAAGCTAGTGAATAGAAAACGGCCCATTTGTATAGACATAGAGCTCGAATGGTGGAGGAAGGAGAAGTCAATATGTGTACAATGCTAAGAGCCACCTGCATGTAGATAAATTGTGAGGGTGGGAAATGGATGACTATGGCTCGGAACCGTGCCCAGAGGTAGGATTTGGTACTAACAATGTTGACACCAGGGTCTTCCTATCAGGAAGATAGCTCCTTCAAAGAATACAACGCTACAAGAACAAAGAAGGCGTAAAACATGAACTGGACTTCATTAACAGGTTGATGTGCTTCTGGAGACGGTGATGCTTGCAAAAGCAAAGTAGCGCACGACAATAATGAAATCAAAATTGGTTCAAGTACAGGCGAGTAAGCGCCAGTCCGTTACTATGCACCTTTCACAAAGTATAAGAAACCTTATTTGGAGGCCATGTCTGTCTTTATCGCCCGTCTGTTCGTCTTCCTGTGACGTCATATTAGCCGCTAATCCGCGGAATAAACTTGTTTTAATATTCCGCCTTGCACACTCTCGATAAAAGTTGCCGGGCAGCTTCGAGTACTTTATGTAAGGTCATAAATGAATTTTTCAATTGCATCAAATGCGTTTAATAAAATTCTGGTCATATTCTATGTGAATAAGCGTATCACTGCTCGGAGAGTTTTATTTCAAGTGCTTTAACTTATTACAAAGTCCACATTACATAAGATCATAAATTAACATTTTTGGCTCAGGACTATTCACATTCAGGCGTGGAAGTGCTTTGTATATCAGTCAGTCATTTCAACTTGAAGCTACGCGTGTCTATTATGAACCCAACACTGCATAACGCGTCATGTTTTAACCCGTTTCAGATTCTATCACAATTCGATATTATGAATTATTTTGACTTTTAAATATGAATTCTGCTTGCATTATCTGATATATTTTATTTTTTGATAAAATTCCGCCTACAGACTAACTGCAAGTGAATTTCAATAATCGGAGTTACGAATTTCGGGTACGAGATTAGCCTGCAGAACATACTTTTTGCGATCCTTCTGAAGGGAATGGCAGATCAATGGCATATGAGTGCAATGCACTTACGAAAAGTTCATCATTTTTTCACGNTATATATATATATATATATTCGTAGCTCTTATGACTGTACAATCCAGCAATTTAAATCGTAATTTATATTCATTCAATTAACAGGTAACAGCATGTTCTGCACATATGTAATTCACGTGATATAGTATATATATTTCATTGTTGTTAGTTCGTACCAATAAAGCGATACGACATGAAATGGAGGATACGTTTTCGACGTCGATCTGAAATGCGTAGATAGATATATCGCGTGATTTCTTGTATAATAAAATGAATCGTGTTTATTTTAAATGATGAAACTATGTACTCCATCCATTTAAAATTATCACGAATATTTAAACGAAACTGGAAAGAAATGTTTTATTAGTCACATCAGCAGCGCAACGCAAATAAGAGCAATACACACAGAGATGCTGGGTTTTCGGACTTTGTCCATCGTCCGGATTTTAATAACTAAGAAAAACACGACGTTTCGGAAACTGGATCTGTTCCCGCCCTCAGGTGAGGGAAGACACCTTCTCTGTTGGGTTTCCGAAACGTTGTGTTTTTTTTCTTAGTTATTTAGAATCCGGACGATGGACAAAGTCAGAAAACCCAGCATCTCTGTGTGTTATACACCATCGTCAGAACCCTACAGTATCTAAGAGTAATATAGCCTATATTTTTTCGAGATTGAATTCTGTTACGGCCTGGTTATACAGTTTAGAAGTTTCTAATTACAAGTAAAACTTTCCACTGGGATTTACATGCAATCAATAAAGTCAATATTCAGTGTTCCAGGCTTGATTTAATTGTATACTTGAGGAGAAATGTAAACATCCTTAAACAGAAGAACTATGCGGTATCGACATAACGACATCCAATATCTGCACCTACACCTTGGTCTTCCCAGTGGTCTCTTTCCTTCTGGCCTTCCCACCAATATCCTGTATGCATTCCTCGTTTCCCTCATTTAATTTAAAGAAATATTTTTGTCTCAAATTTCACGATCTGAAATCCAGACATCCAGACACCCGTAACTTACAATTATTCACACAGCGCCCATATTTCTTCCCGTGCCATGATATAAAGAAATACTGATTTTACTTATTCCACAACGGCATATCAAGTACTGTGGAAATTCGTCGTGAGCACATGTTTACACATACGGACAGTGAAATAATAGAATGTACTTGAAGGTTGACTGGTGTTTCACGCACCCACCTGGTTTAATGTGCTCGATTTGAACTCCTGAATATTGCATTTATACTGTGACATGACAGCCGGATTTCGAATAGTAGAGTCAGAAAAGACGGCCGTTGCTAGACAATGGCTAGGTAGACAAGTCTTGGACACAACGAATACGCACGCAACAATAGAACAACCGTCGTAAACGGTGTTTTCTATAAGGTCCATGCAGTACACTTCACTGAAGGTTAGTCGCGAGTGGTAGGCCGACAGGAGTCGTCACTTGTAGTTGGTGGCGCAGCTTTTCTGTTACGACATTCCCAATGTGCGGGCTGTTGTCATGGAGAATGATTGGCCCAGCCTCGAGAAACTGAGGTCGGTTTTTGTGCATTTTTCTGCGCAGATTTTGCATAAAGTCACGATAATAAACTGCTGTGACACTTTTCCCGCATGGAACTCTGTCTGTCATGATGATTCCTTGGTGATCACAAGCAAAGATCATCATTTGTTTGACCTTTGATTGAGATCGTCGAAATTTTTTTGGTCGTGGGGAAGATGGACCTCTCCACTCGTTGGGCTGTGATTTCAGCTCCGGTTCGAAGTCTCCAACCCACGTTTCATCAATAGCGACAAGTCGACACAAGAATGCTTGACTTTCAACGTCGACTCTTTGTTTCAGTAAAGTTGCAATGTCAAGGCCTTTCTGCTTCTGTTCAGCAGTCAAACAGTGAGGGGCCCATCGAGCAGAAATCTTTGTCTTCTTTAAACCATTTATCAGAAATTGGAATATTGATGTTGGTGGAATCCCCGTGGTTTCAGAAAGTTCCTCACATGTCGCATGACGATCTTCTTCAAGATCATCTGACACAAGTTTCACACTTCGTTCATCTGTTGATTTTTTCGGCCTTCCTGGCCTTGGATCATCGTTTATGCTCACATGACCCGGCACGAAAACGACTAGCCCAGCGAGAAACTGAACTACGGTCCACTGTTAACTCGCCACAAACTTCACTTAGAGCACCGTGGATTTCTGTCGGGGTTTTTTATACGTAAAGTTTCGATCTTAATGTACGACCCTTGATCTTCAACAGTCACCATGTTCGAGAACCGTGCAGGCTCCATGTCTAACTCACGTTATTTAAGAACAGAGCACATTATAAATGAAACAAAATAACGCGCTTCTTTCTCAAGCCCTGAACTGTAACTGACGTGAGGCTCACTGCTGTTGCGTCATCTAATCTGCAGTGTTGCCAACCTGTGCATTATTTATGAAATGACCCACGTAATTAAGAATCCAAACTCAGTGTCTAGTCACTTATACGCGACAATGTGTTTCAGGGTCAAATATTGCATTGGTGTTACTTGTTTGAGCGCACATTAATTGCAATATCATGTCACAAATGCTACAGTTGTTCTTGTTCACTACAATCCTTCAACTGTAACATTCTGTTCAAATTCACAACATTTCCTTTCCTGTGTTTTCTTCATAACCTCACGATTTCATGACCATGCTTCACACTCTGTATTTGGATTGACGAGTTCTGTTCCTCTCCTTCACTTCAGCTTCACTCCTTGATTAACCTGTTTGTTACATTTTTTAAAACGTGACGGCTTTCTTTCTGTTGTTTCAGATCCAATGGTTGATACGTGGTTTCTGATGGGCAGCCCAGCGCCCATTTTGTGCATTGTGGCATCTTATCTCTACTTCGTCCTCAAACTTGGGCCCAAACTAATGGCTTCACGTAAACCCCTCAATATGAAACCTTTTCTTTTGGCTTATAACTTCTCTATAGCCGTCCTAAGCCTCTATGTTGCCGTGATGGTAAGTCTATGCTTATTTTGAATCTTACCATCTGATTTCCCGTTCTTCGCGTGGAATACGAAGAACATAGAGAAGCCTCAAGAATTTCGGTGAATCATAAACAGTTCTTCTGCTTGTAAGACACTTATGTTTAGCTTATACGATGGAAATGACAGTATGCTGTTATGAAACACGCTTCTTCGGGTGTCAAAATATTCGATTTCCATTATTCTGAGGCTTCTAGCTCATTCCAATTTCCTATTATCATTTTAACGCCCTGCTACACCCTTAGCCTCTGAGCAGGTTTCCATCAAATGTTGTTGGTGGAATATTTCACAGGAATGAAAACTGGACATGCATGCCAAAATCACAGAATTTTTACGAACAGAGTAAACTTCTGATTATCCCCTCCTCTCGTCGGGGCGCAGGCCCCATTACAAAACACGTAAAAGCCTGGAAAGATAAAATAAACTTTCGAGAAATCCATTTATCAGTTCAAACCCAGTGCCTAGCCACTTGAACGTAATATCTTATACAGAATCTGTAGGTATGATTGTTTATAACACGTATGACCCCTTGCCAAATTTCAACTTGCTAGCTCCAGTGTTTCATAAGTTATTGCCATCAAACCGAAAACTAAATAGGCCCTATAGATTTCATGCGGCTGCCATGTTATTATATTATATTCTACAGAATATAATGTCTTAACAATGGTTAATATTTTCAAAGTTATATTACCATTCACCGTTTTAGGTCTCTGGATTAATTGGCGCTAGCATTGCTCTCTTTTTTTATATACTCGTGTATCCGCCATGTTGTTATTGCCAACCAAATGAAACTAAAAAGTACGAGGATATGGGTGCTCTCTAATGGCATACCTTCTGTGCCAATTTTCGTATAAATCCATCAGCCCGTTGAAAAGATGGAATGTGTGGACATACTGACACACAAAAAGAAATTTGATTCCAGCTGGATGATTCCTACTTCCGTTAACATCGGAACTGTAACCTTCCGGGCAGGAAGAAAGCACATACTGATTACATACGAGTAACAGACTTACACAGAAACGGTATCTTGATAATTACAATTACTATAACACTCAGAATTTGCAGGTCATGTAGCACGAATGGGGGAGACGAGGAATGAGTATAGGATATTGGTGGGAAAGCCAGAAGGAAAGAGACCACTGGGAAGACCAAAGCGTAGGTGGGTGGACAATATTAGAATGGATCTTAGAGAGATAGGATGGGATGGTATGGACTGGATAGATTTGGCTCAGGATAGGGACCAGTGGAGGGCTATTGTGAACACGGTGATGAACCTTCGGGTTCCATAAAATGCTGGGAAATTCTTGAGAGCTGCAGAATTGGCGGCTCCTCCAGAAGGGCTCAGCTCCATGAGTAAGTAAGTAAGTAAGTAAGTAAGTAAGTAAGTAAGTTCCTCGGAATTCGCCGAGTTTGTGTGCTATATCTGCACACAGTGCGCTTGTTCGTATTTCAAGTGTTCTTTACTGAGTAAGAAAATACTCCTTATGTGGAGGTTCTGTCTCCCTGTTACCTAGTATCTACATGGGTGACTCCGACAATCAGTTTGCGGGAAACTCAGATTTTCAGCTATACCAATCGATAATAAAGCCTTTCTACCTAAGCGTGCGAGAGCACTCTGTAGCGTAGTTGGTTGAGGCACTATGCTACGAGCCAGAAGGTCATCAGTTCAAGTCCCGATGACGTCACTGGATTTTTTTCAATTGACCTAATCCTTCCAGCCGCACTATGGCCTTGTGATCGACTCAGCCTCTAACAGAAGTTAGTACCAGAAATCTTGGCGGTAAAGGGCGGCCGGCGCGTAAGGCTGACAACCTCACCGCCATCTGTGAGCCGACTGTCTAGAAAATGTGGGAGCCTCGACGTCTCACAACCCTATTGTCCTCCACGGCCTGTCACAAGGATACCTTTACTTTTTTACTTAATATTCCATTTAAGTTCTTTTAAGATTCTCGCATTTTTCTCCAAATGTACCATTTTGTTTTTCACTTATGGTATGAAAAAATATTTTCACACTTTTATAAACCATTTCAGCTACGAAGTCCACAAAATGTCCTTCCGCGTATCAGCCCGTGAAGCTTAAATCCGCTACTGCAGCCAGAGTCTTACGAAATGAGTGCAGTTGTAAACAGGTTTCACGTCTGGAAGAGTAACGAACCAACAACAATGGAACGCAGGTTTGAAGCAGAAAATAACGGCGCGTTACCTTGTATGTGACCCAGTACAGAAGGCTCTAGTTTAACAGGCGGCAGACTGTGTAGGGGCGCCGGTTAGAAAACTGACTTCTGTGTCCTGTATCAGAAAATAATTTTCATGTCAAATCGCTTCTTAAAATTGAACAGCTACAAAGCAAAGGGAGCTTCGGTTCACGTTTGATTATGCACTTGGAAAGTCTAGCCTCTTTCTTTGTTCGGCTGTCCTTTGTAATCTGTAGAAACGGCACAACAGCATCTCAGAAGTCATGTTCATCTTTCTGCCAATATCGCTCGAGTAAATTACCCTTCTAAACGCATGTGTCGTTTTATAAATCCCAATTAACAAGCCAGTTATGTCGCACACAGCTTCCTTAAGCTCCGCCTCCTGCCCTTCCATGCCAACAGGAACTACACTCGGTCAAAGTTTTGGTTACCTGGTTATTCGGCTTTTCTTACACAGTGCTACAGTCTTCTTGTTTCAGTTGGGTCTGACAAGTCAAATTCGAATGTCGACGGGGTTTCCGGCTGTAATGGCGACTTTTTATGTGGGTTTTCCTCAATCTCTCCAGCGAATGCAGCGAGTAAAGTAAAAAAGTAAAGCTATCCCTGTAACAGCCCATGAAGGCCCATAAGAATGTGAGACGTTGAGGGTCCTACATTTTCTAGACAATCGGCTCAAAGATGGCGGTAAGGTTGTCAGCCTGACGCGCCGGCCGCGCTTTACTCCCCAGGAAAATTATTCAGTTAATTCCTGGTACTCATTTCTGTTAGAGGCTGAGTGAACCCCAGGGCCATAGTGCGGCTGGAAGGATTAGGTCAATTGAAAAAGATCCAATGATCTCATCAGGACGTGAACCCGCGACCTTCCGGCTTGTAGCGAGAGTACTTACAAACAGATCGCGATCCCCTCCTTCCAGATCCCAACCCATTCACAACTGCAGGCGCCACACAAGCCCTGCATCAGGAACAACATCGCAACAACATCCTCATTCGTTTAATCCCACATTCATAATTATAACAATTTACCTCAGTCGATGGACCGCCTCTGTGGTCTAGTGGTCAGAGGCCCTGCCTACAGATCCAGAGGCCCCGGGTTCGATTCCCTGCGCTATCAGATTTTCTGAGACGTAGTGGGTCTGGAACGGGGTCCACTCAGCCTCGTGAGGATAACTGAGGAGCTATTTCAAAGAAATAGTGGTTCCGGTCTAGAAGCCTGAGATTAACGACCGTGGGGATTCGTTGCGCTGACCACGCGACACCCTCTATCCACTAAAGTTGGCACTAATTTCGCCGACAAGCGGCGGTCGCTCGGTCGGTATAGTTCGCTGGCGGACTATAGCCAAGGAGTTTGTTTCGTTTCTACCTCATTCGATTCTTTTATCACCGCTGAGGTCGACTCAGCATAGTTGGACAGATAATGAGCAAATATATTGTTTAGTACGCTTCCGTGAGAGCGCTGAATGCGTAATTAGGACGTCGTGTATGGCCGCGTGTTGTTTAACTACGCACTGGCTTGGGCGGCCTTCTGTGTGAAAAAATGCTGTCAGCCATTATGCAGGGACGGTCTATGCCGGTGTGGGAACGTCCTCTGTGACCTGGTCTCGAGAAATACTGTAAAGGTGACACCCTTTAACAAGCCGCGACTCCATGGCTTCCTGGTCTTACTCGTGGAGAAGATGCATACAGATGCACGCTTCTTCTGGGGCTCTTGTCTGTGCAGCGGGGGACCAAGCGGAGCGCTAGGTGGATGTTCTGGAGCCGACACGTGGACTCACATACAGGTGCACTGAATCCTCACTTTAACGAGCTCCTCGTAAGGACAAACAAGTCGGAAGTGGTTCCCAAACCGTAACGGAGAAGCACAGAGATGGGAAAGACTATTTGCACCTGCTCACACCAGTTCTTCGCTTCTACCCTAAAGATGGAGGCCGTAATTTCTTCCGAAACGTCGGTTAACACAATACCTACACGGCGCCACATCCCAGAAGACTGCTCTCTTCATAGTCACCGCAGTGAAAGCCTCAAATCTTACAAGAGTTTAAATACTCGCAATTCTGACGGAAACAGACGTGGCCACTCCTTTCATGGGGTGGTTCGGATGTTCACATGTAAGCGGGATATATGTAGGGCAGGGAACCTAGCAGCCACTTCAGGATGGACCCGCTTATTATTACATAAAATTTAACTTACCACATCAAAGTAAGAGACAACGTTTATTGCCAACAAGTTTATCCGGCGCTTAATTATAAGTAACTAAGTACCTCGTCATGACAACGTCCAGGGAATGAAGGCACAGCTCCGTCTGTCTTAACCTCGGCACTAGATGGAGGGTAGTGGGCAGCTTCAGGCTCCTGCTGTTCTACCCCCGAGGGAAGCTGGCTGGGTCTCTTAGTAGGTAGGGACGCTGTGGAGAAATGAAAAATCTCTTCCTCCTTGCAAAAATGCAACCCCGAGTCCTTGGACGTCCAGCCTAGCCAATATATGGAGGGAGGTGCTCACCTTCGTTGACCAGTTCACGGCGACCGGTGCACCGCCGGCTGCGAGGCGCATACGAATAGTTCCCGTGATTCAATATGCCTGTTGCCGATAACGTTCGAAATGAAGCTGTTACAATTGATACATGAGAGGAGGTGTTGAAAATGCTGTCCCTCTACACGTAGATACATTTTTATTATCACCCCTTTAGTTAAAAACACAGGTCCAACAAATCTTGTTGCACTTCCAGCGCACCAGACACCAGCTTGCACTGGATGGAGCCGGACTTCGTGGGTTAGATGTGGATCCTGTGAACTCCAGTAGCGACTATTAGCGTACTTATGTATCCCTACAGGAGAAACCGCGCTCCATCACAAAAGAATGCCAATTGCGGATGAATCTCAACTTCGACGACAGGCTGTAGAAACCAAATGCAAAAATGAACCCTGGATCGTGAGCCTGCAAGGCATGGATTACTGCTGTTTTACAGGGTCTTAGCTTCGGAAATTTTGTGTTGCCCTTCTTGCTCTGACACCCCAGTCTTCTCAGCTATAACTCTGAGTGATTTTGTAGGTGTGTGTTCAAGTTTGGCCCCTGTGTCGTCTAACTTCTCCTCAGCACTCACTCGACGCTTATGCCCTTCCTTCTTGTCTATTATCAGTTCCGTTATTGCAAGTTGTTCACTAAACTGTGAACTATTTTCTGCTGATAACACTATCGTTATGAAACTTCCGTCGAAATTTTCGCCGACACTGTCTACCAGATCCCTATTTCACGTGGGCGTCATGCAGAAATATGCATTGATCCGAAGCATACAACACCATTACGGAACACACTGCTCACTAATTTTAACTGATAACAAATGACTAATGGAGCTAATAACTGCTGCCTACTGCTCACAAATCATAAACAAATTCCCAAGCATGAACCACACTGCTCGCCGTGAAACATAAAGCCGTCAACGGTCTAGATAGTAACTTCCTCAAAAAGTTATCACCCGTCAGACACATTTATTCTTCGGAGAAATTTGTATGCGCCTCGCAGCCGGCGGTGCACCGGTCAACTAAGTTAAGAACCTTCCTGTAGAATGAGCTACCCCGCATCACCGAGCTTATTAACATATTAAAGGTACGTTATTACATCAAATTAAGAAAACCTCGCCTTTACACCTTAGTTTTGGTCTGTGAAGCAGACCTCATGGTAGCAATATCCATACTGAGTAATAAAAAGCATTCCCTGAAATAATTTTATTTCTTGTTCATTATTAATGTCATTCATGTTTTAAACATTCTTAATACTGCGAGGGTGTTTGGAGAAATATAAATTTAATGCTCATGAGAAATATACAACTAAGTAAGTAACTCCATGGAGCTGAGTCCTTCTTCACGAACCAGTAGTTGCTCAGCAACTCAAAATATTCCTAGTATTTTATTGAACCTGGAGATTCATTGCCGTGTTCTCAAGAGCCCGCCAATTGTTCCAGTCGTAAGCCAGATGAATACAGTCCGCTTCTCTAAGATTACGTTTAGGGCCCTCATACACACACAGTTTGGCCTCCAGTTCGGTCTGCACAGTTGAAGACTAAAAGGCAAAACTGACGTGTATGGTGCGGCCGACCGGCCAATCGTTTGCACTGTTGGCCTGTGGGAAACCCGTCAGTCCGTCAGTCCGGCCTGCAGGACCGTAGCACGTGACGTGTGCGACTCAACATTATAGGCTGGAAGACCGTGATTGTGGCATGAAGCCTGCCGCTTTATCTGCGCGTGTATGGGGGGTAAACTGTCTCAGTTTTGCCTGTAAGGTCGATCGGAAGGCCAAACTGTGTGTGTATGGGGGGCCTTAGTCTCATTCTCCAACCGGCGTCTACGTCTTCCTAGTTGTTCTTATCTTCAGGTTCTTTTACCACAATTCTCTAGCTACTTCTCTTCTTCCACATGCGTGCTATATACCCTGTCAATCTCATCATCCTTGACTTGATCAATTCTAATTATATTTGGATAAGAGTACAGGTTAGTTAGTTAGTTATTGGAGAGGGTGGGTTTCCCCATGCACTTAGACCTGTATTGGTCCATTGTGCTTCCCTCAATGATATTCTACCAGTCTCTATATCCTACTGGTACTGGTGCTTGCCATCAGTCCCGCCCAGCCAGCGAGACCGGCTCTACTAGCTGAGAGGTATCTATAATGCTTCCCCCATCTACCAGAGGCCTTAGAGACTATTGTTGGGCGGGAAACGTCCTGGAATTTGGCTCAGTGGCCTCATTTGGAGATATGAGGTTCTTTTACGTGCCGTAAAGCTACGACACGGGACCCACGGCTTAAAGTTCCTCCCGGAGGACTTGTTCCCTGAATTTTTCCGCCCTTAAAAATTCGAATACCTCCGCCGGGTATTTGAACCCGCGTACTACGAGTCATGAGGTGGGAACAGAGTACAGGTTACGAATCTCCTCATTACGCAGTTCTCTTCAGTCTCCTATTATTTCATCCATCTTAGATTAAATATTCTCCTCAGTGCCCTGTTTCCGAACACCTTCAATGTATTCTTCCCTTAATGTCAGAGACCAAGTTTCACACCCATACAAAATTACAGGAAAAATCATAATGCTACATATTTTAATTTATCTTTTTTCCGATAGCAGAAGAGAAAACAACAATTCTTAATTGAATGGTAGCAAGCACTACCAGATCTGAATCTCGTCTTAATTTCCTCAAGAATCAAGTTCTGGTTTACTACTGTCGTTGCCAAACAAATTAACTTTGCCACATTTCCGAAGTACCTATTAGCTGCCTTTCTGTTTAGACTTTTCCTTGCATTCTGGTGAAAAGACATCAACATATACGCTTAGTGGTCTCTGCATTACTTCCGAACTAACCTTTTAACTAGCTTCGGTAGTTTTCTCACGACATTTATGCTACCGCCCAGTAAACTTTCATCATCATCATCATCATCATCATCAGACGAAGAGCTAATGTCTCCAATTCAATTTCAATCCCACCTGGTTTTCTTGAACCTTCCTAATGGTGTGTTGTAAAGCAAAGTTTAAAGCAACGACAGTAGGGCATCTCTTTGTTTCAGACTATTTAGAAGAGGAAAGCATCAGGCAAATCTTTATCTTTCTGAACTTTCATATGTGTATGTGTTTCATTTAAACGCATTCTAATAAGCACAATCATTTTCATGGATACCCTCAGACGTAATGAGAATATTGTACAGTACTTCCCCCTCTCAGCTGAACCAGACTTGCGTGAAGTCCACGGGTAGCTGATGCACCACAAATATTACCCTTACTTCGAAACTCACAGTGGTGAAGCCCAATAATATCTTCTTCATATAAATGTACTTTTGGGAGAGTTTTATATGTGTAAAATTTCAAATAAATTTGATATACAAATAATATAATGTAATAATATACCTCGATAATTACAACGGCCAGTTTTATAACTTTTCTTGTAAACAGGCATAATAAAAGACTCCTTCCACTGCCGATACAATTCCTCTATATTAAAGCATGCTGCATTCTGTGTGCGGAATGAATATGATTTACTTGCAAGGAACGCCTGTAGCAATTCTAAAAACGAGCACGGCTTGCAGGCCTAGTACCCAAATATTTATCGCGTAAGCCTCTTGTCCTGCAGATTGCTGCCGGAGGGTTGGTGTCCCATTTGATTGTCGAGGGTTGCAACCCCAAACAGAGATCAAGCGAGCACACGTACAAAGTAAGTATTCTTGATTTGCTTTAACCAATGCAGTATATTAGTAAAGTTACAATGCGGGTCTCAAACGTTGCTGATTTTAATAGTTAAGTACAGAAAAGTGAATGAAATATAATATAAAATATAAGCTGTAAGACCTTACCTTTTTTGTTGTTTGTTAAGTTTAAGACAAGTCCCATGCTTCGCTTTGCACATGTCTAATGTATATCCCATCCAATCCCATCTGTTGCCATACTCAATTCAGAAGACACGGAGTCTAGTTATTCATTTTGACACTGAGCGCCACCTGTTCAGTGTAGCCAGACAATGCTCAGTTCCGAACATCTCTTCTAACTCCAGATTTTGATACACGGCCATCTGAACCATCTGAACTTTCATGCAGTCTTGGCATAGTTGGGCGAAGCTCCATACACCTCTAAGATTTTATTATAGTTTTCAATGCAGGGTACGGCGAAAAGTCCCAAACGCGTCTAGAAATTGTTGTGATCAACTAAGTCTTTGGATTATTCTGCTAGACAGTTACATACAAATATAGTTACATAAATAATTGGGCGTTCATATAAAAATCATCTTCTTGTCCTACTTGAAGCAGAAAATCATACACTGTCGGCTACTTAATCCCAGAGCTTCCCGGTCGGGTGTGGTAATAATTAGAATGCTGTACAAAACGGCAAATAGGGCTCAGTTTTAATTTTACTAATAAAACAGATACACTTTGCCCACGGGTTTCAATCACATATTAATTGGACAAGTATTGTTTTTATAAACATGTAGAATGTGGAGTAGAACACATAATGTTATTAGTCGTTGCAATGACTTGCTGCAGAGTCTGTCATGGACAATGCATCATAAAGAACAAGCCGTAGTTTCGCTGTGCCTCACATTGCCTTTCTCAAGTATCGATGTTGTGTCTCGTAGTAACTTGAACTCTGTTAACGAGTGTCACCTCCCCCTATTACCGTTCATAAGCGAACAGGTCACTATCTGTTCGGTTTTCGTGCATGGCAGTGATTTTACTCTTAAATAGGATTGTTACATTTCCTTTGCGTTTAGTGTACAAAGTGAGTCCGTAATAATGAAGTTTTGTCCGTAATTCTGCCGTTTGCATACGCCACATCACTTATATTTGGGAAGTGGCATTTTGTAATTCTTATGTTTAAAGTGATAAATCCTCTGTTACAGGTACACTTGTGTAGCTGGTGGTACTTAATGTCGAAAGTAGTGGAACTGACGGATACCGTAAGTTAATTAACATTTCTGGAGTGAACCACACTATATAGAGTTACCTACTTGACATGTCTTCTTTTTTTGTGACACTGATGATTATTTCTAGCTTCATGTATGCACCATTTCCTCCATAACCTAAGGTTGTATAAACTTATCACGTAAGTTGTTGTCACTGGCTGTGCACTGTATCACGGGACCTCGTTGGTTGTCTCTTCTAAATAAAAAGAAGCAACCAAATTACACGAATGTTGTACTCAACATTGGCAGTTCTACCATTTACAGAGTAATTTATCATAATTCATGCCAAAACACCATTTGAATTAAGCATAAACTTCGTCGGAACGGAAGGCTTGTTAAGCAACTTTGCACCCATATGAATTTAATGAAATCGGCACTGTGGCTTTCGGAATTTCAAAAACAATTTCGGAACCTACATCAGAGCTACAACGTAACATAAATATGAGCACTCAAATAAAATATAATTTACGCACAGAATGATGTATTTATTTGATGAGAGAGCGCTTTCAGTATTATATCTCGGCACCTTGTTGCACTGATTAATGCGTATTATGGTTTACGTGAGCGTCTTTAAGGTGCACCTTCTTATTCTGCGTGTAGATTGTTTGTGCTATGATATATGTTGCAGAAGTGGCACACCAACAGCCTGCACCTTAAATACTGCACTTTATTGACAGAGGCAATATAAGGTAGTAATGGATACCTTGCTTCATATGTTACAGGTGGTCTTTGTGCTCCGAAAGAAAGAGAGACAAGTTTCGTTCCTCCATGTGTATCACCACGCTTCTCAAGTATTATTTACGTGGGCCTACCTGAAGTATCTACCAGGTAGGGCTCAGTATACAGTTGTAGTTCGGTTTCGAGGAGGTTCCTCCTGCAAAAAAGAGAGCAATATACTTTAAAGTGCTTCATATTGGGGCTCTCTTCAGTTAATGTTGTACAACGTGTAAGCAGAGACAGACTTGCGTAGAAATTGTGGAAACGAGGTCGGCAGATGTTACAGGGAGAGAGAAAGAATAAACATGAGAATAAAATAAAAGTAGAGGACTGAAATCACTCACTCGCTCATGGAGCTGAGCCCTTCTTGAGAAGCTGCGAATTCTGCAGCCACTCAACAATTTCCCAACATTTTACAGAACCCCAGGGTTCTTCACCGTGTTCACAAGTTCTCTACAAGGGTCCTATCCTTAGCCAGCTTAATCCAATCGAAACCATCAAATCCTATCTCTCTAAAATCCATTTTAATATTATCCGCCCACCTCTGTCTTGGTCCTCTTAGTGACCTCCTTCCTTCTGGCTTTCCCATCAATATTCATTTGCATTCCTCATCTCTCCGATTCGTGCTACATGCCATGCCCATCTCATCAACGTTCACTTGATCATTCTAATTATACTTGGAGAAGAGTAGAAATTATGAGGCTCCTCATTATGCAGTTTTCTCCAACCTCCAGTCACTTCATCCATCTTCAATCAAAATAATCAGCTCAACACCCTGTTCTCAAACACCCTCACTCTATGTTCCTCCCTTAATATCAGACACCAGGTTTCACAAACATACAGAACCACAGGCAGAATTATATTTTTGTATATTATAATGTTTATGTTTTTAGACAGCATACGAGAACTGAACGAATGGTAGCAAGCATTACCGAGTTCAATCTCACCTTAATTTCCTCCTGAATCAGGTTTTGATTTGTTATAGTCGTTCTCGAATGTCTGAACTGTGCCACATTTTCAGAACATCTGTTGCTTATCTTTACATAATGATTTTGTCCTGCATTTTGATGATGAGAAAGCAACATACACTTGCTTCTCTTTGTGTTCACTTCTAGGCCAACCTCACTACTAGCGTCAATTAAAGTTTGTGTGTTTCTCTTTATAGTATCAACATTATCAACCAGTAGATTCACATCATCAGCATAGACCAACAGCTGATGTGTCCCGTTTAATTTCAGTCCCACCTGGTTTACCTGGACCTACCTAATTGCATATTCTAAGGCAAAGTTGAAAAGGAGTGGCGATAAAGCGTCTCCTTGTCTTAGACCCATCTGGATAGGAAATGTATCAGACAGATGTTTACTTATACGGATTTTATTATAAGTTTCGCTTAAATTCATTCAAATCCACCTAACTAGTTTCATGGTATCCCAAACTCTATCAGAACATTGTACAGTACTTCCCTCCTAACTGAATCGTAGGCTTTCTTGAAGTCTATGAATAGCTGGTGTACTATTTTATTGTACTCATTGTACTATCTCATTTTTTTCCTGTATTTGAAGAATGGAAAAATGTGATTAGTAGTTGATTTGTTATGTCAAAATCCACACTGATGATCCCCAATAATTTCATCTATATATGGACTTAACCTTGAAAGAAGAATATTGGACAAAATTTTATATGAAGTTGATAGCAGTGATATCCCCCGATAATTACTACAGTCAGTTTTATCACCATTCTTGTGCACTGGGACAGTAAAGGATTCCTTCCATTGATCAGAAAATTCTTCTTTATTCCAAATAGAAATAATTAGCTTATGGATCTTAGAACGTAATATTTTGCCTCTTGCTAGAATCAGTTCTGCCAGAATTTAATCACTACCTGGAGATTTATACCGTTTCAATTTTGCAATACCACTTTCAGCCTCAAAAGGGCTAGGATCAGGTACCAACAGCTCAGCTGTATCGATTTCTATCTGCCTAACAGCACTGATCCTATGTACATTCAATAACTGAGAGAAGTAGTTCTTCCACCTATTCAAAATATTGTGGGAATCTGCAAGCAGATCACCATTTTCATGCTTCACTAAGTTACTGCTAGGCTGGTAACCCTTCTTGAAGTGATTTATTCCTCTATAGAGATCCCTAATATTCTTGATTTTACTGTTTGTTGCAATTTCAGCAGTTTTGTCTTACAGATATTCGTTCTTTTTATTCCTGAAATGCCTACTGGTTTCATGTCTTATATTGTTCAGATTATCCCTATGTATTTCGCTTGGACCCTGTTACCACTGCAATTTGGCTGTTTCCTTTGGTCTAATAATTTTGAGCATGGTTCATCGAACCATGGCTTATGCTTCTTCGGTTCATAATACGCTAAACTCTCCTTGGCAGAAATTTGATATTCTCTCTACGAGTTTCCCAACCTTTATTAACATCCACCTCAGTGCCCAAGTTCTCCAAAGCTGCGAACCTATTTGATATTTCAACACAATACTGCTCTTTACCCTCTACCTCATTTAATTTTTTGAGATTGAACCTCTCCATATGAACTCTGTGTGTTGTTTGTTTGCTCACTGCCAGTCTTTCCCTAACATTTGCCACTATCACAATCTGTTGCCCTGAATGATTGGACATCAAGTATACTTGAGTGCTGTCTCCTGTCAATCAAAATATGGTCTATTTGATTGTGTAGCTTCCCATCAGGAGATGTACATGTAAATTTATGGATGTTGCGATGTGGGAATGTGGCAAAGTTTACTACCCTAACGCCATTATCATTACTAATTTCGTGCAAACTCTCATTCCCAAACGTTTTTTGAAAATGTCTTCCCTCCCTACTTTGGCATTGTAATCTCCTAGCAATATTTTCATAGGGTACTTCGGGAATTTATCAAATACAAGTTCTAGTTCTTTGTAGAACCTGTCTTTTATACCATCAGGTTTATCTTCCGTTGGGGCTGAACATTCGGAACAATGGCATCTCACCAGCGACCTCTCAGTATTATGTATGCCATCCTATCACTAACGAACTCTACCCTCTTAACTGCTGATACGATTCTCTCACGTACGAAAAACCCTGTACCTAATTCATGATTTTCATTCCCCTTTCCATAGATAAAATGTATAGTCTCCTGCTGGTGCGATGCCACCTCCATCCCATCTGACCTCCTATACTCCCGCTAAATCTAACTTATATTATAAGATTTCTTCTGCCGCTGCCCTGAGCAAACCTGCCCTATACAAACTTCGTACATTCCAAGTGCCAAATCTCATATCCATTTTCATTAGCTTATGTCGTTTATCCAAGGAATCAGTCCAGGTCCGAGGCTTTGTGCTCATTTTCGTAACATGATAATTTTTACGGCGAGGAGTTGTTAGCCCCACGCCCAATCCCCAAGCTGGAGGACCACCCCTTGTCGGCTGTCCGCGACTGCTTATTCAATATATTCGCACGATTCCTCCAAAACTGGAGGCCGTCTCCTCCATCCGCAACCTGAGGACGCACCATGGCATGGTGACAAGGACCCACCTAACATGGCAGAGGACTGGGAATAGGTTTCTACGAGTATAACCTAAGTTGAAATGAACTGGCCAGGAATAGTTTATTCATGAGTTTTGATGCTAGCGGTCACGAACTGTCAGTTTGTTATGTTATGAAACGCACTGGTCGGCCCATCTCGCATGAAGAGTTCCTCTCAGCCATTCAAAAATTTAAATGTAAATTTTACCAGCAAATTTCAACGAACTCAGCTTCATAAAACCTAAAGAATATAATCACTATCTGCAAGGCATTACTACTCCTACTATTACAACCCGACATTCTTATTTATATAATCAGGTAAAAAAAATCCCTGTGCTTAGTTAATCAAGCACCATGCCATGAGAATATATGGGGGAGCGATATAGCTCCATCTTTCTCAACCTCGGCACTAGATGGAGGTGAATGGTTAGCTTCATGCCCTTGTCACATTAACGCCGCGAAACATTTTTTCCGTATCTATTAGACAGGGGGCTGTGTGGGCTTCAGAGCGGCTGTGAACGCTTTGGAGTGGGCAAATATTTCTTGTTCTTACCAGGAATCGAACTCTGGCCCTCCAGCCCGTCGCTACGCTGAGTTATCCCGGCTCCTCTTAGTTAGGAATTACAAGGAATATTTTTAAAACGTGTGCACTTATTTCTGAATGCTTGCAGGTGAACAAGCAATTTTGGCGGGTTTCATCAACTCTGCGGTACATGTCGTCATGTATTTCTACTACATGGTGGCAGCGATGGGCCCACAGTACCAGAAATATCTGTGGTGGAAGAAGTACATGACTTGGATACAACTGGTAAGTTTGCCGATGGCAAATGTTTGGCTGCCTAAACTTAAATTTTTGTCGAAATTAGAGTAATTTTCTTCTGCATGTGTCCGATACAACCACATATTACAAGGGACGTACATGTACCGAATGTTGATACAAGTTACTCGCCGCACAAGTACAGTATTTCGTACACAGACTGTACGTAAATCCACTTAAGATTCGTGACAAGAATCTTAATATTCCATCTTCTATGGAAGCCGAAGTAACACTGACACAGTCACGAAAGTTAATTGCAGTAGAACGCCGGTTATCCGACTTTTCAATTAACGAAATCACCGGAACCAAGGGCTGCGTCTGCTCAACAAACATCATTGTTGGGCTTTTTCAAATAAAATGAAAATGAAAATTTATAATTACAATTATTAACTTTCCATGTACCGTACGTTTTCATTTTTTTGTTTTGTTTTACTATTATAATAGTGTTCTGCGAACGCCTCTGTTGTCTAGTGGTCAAAGTTCCTGGCAACAGATCCAGAGTTCCCGGGTTCGATTCCCGACGCTACCAGATTTTCTGAGAAGTAGTGGGTCTGGAACGGGGTCTACTCAGCCTCGTGAGGATAACTGAGGAGCTACTTCAAGGAAATATCGACTCAGGTCCAGAAAAACGAGATTAACGGCCGTGGCTATCCTATCCGCTAAGTTTGCATTCACTTCACCGACAAGCAGGGGTTGCTCGGTCGGTACAGTTCGCTTGCGGACTACAGGCCACGGAATAGTGTTCTGGGGTGTTTCCTCTTGGATAAGAAGAATCCAGTTATCTGAATCACATTTGTCACTAATTCGGATAATCGGCCTTCTGCTGTATTTGTTGAGACCTCGGTATCGTGCTAACATTTATAGTGTAACGTTGTTCCCACTCCCAGCCCTAACCTGCCTACAAACGGTACGAGAACTTCCTGTTCAGATTAAAATTGCTATAGAGCCCAAGCTTCTGTAGGGCCCATTTCTAAATTTCGTGTACAGTCAATGAAATGCAGAAAAGTATATTTGCCTCCACTTATTTAGAAGTATATGTATACTATACGCTGTATTCATTGCATCTGTCTGCATGAAGAGTTACTTGTGCCGTCCATTAGCAGTCCAACAATAGATCTTTAACTGCACCACAACATTCCTCTGAGTAATGAATCAGCACGTACATTAATCAGGAGTTTAGCTTGCAAAGAAAACATGGAGAATATATGAGAAAACGTTGTCACAGGGCTTAATTAAACACCACAACATGAAGGTATGCTGCTTAACTCCACGCATTCTTAACTTCAGCACTAGATGAAGATGAACATTCAATTCATGCTCCGGCCGATTTGCCTCTGGGCAAGAAGCCCAAACCTCCCACTCCTTTATTTATTCAGGGTAGTTAGGTGAGCCTTCCCTTGTCACCACGGCATGGCGCGTCCTCAGGTTGCGGATGGAGGAGACGGCCTCCAGTTTTGGGGGAAACGTGCGAATATATTGAATAAGCAGTCGCGGACAGCCTACAAGGGGTGGTCCTCCAGCTTGGGGATTGGGCGTGGGGCTTACAACTCCTCGCCGTAAAAATTATCATGTTACGAAAATGAGCACAAAGCCTCGGACCTGGACTGATTCCTTGGATAAACGACATAAGCTAATGAAAATGGATATGAGATTTGGAACTTGGAATGTACGAAGTTTGTATAGGGCAGGTTTGCTCAGGGCAGCGGCAGAAGAAATCTTAAAATATAAGTTAGATTTAGTGGGAGTACAGGAGGTCAGATGGGATGGAGGTGGCATCGCACCAGCAGGAGACTATACATTTTATCTATGGAAAGGGGAATGAAAATCATGAATTAGGTACAGGGTTTTTCGTACGTGAGAGAATCGTATCAGCAGTTAAGAGGGTAGAGTTCGTTAGTGATAGGATGGCNAAGTAACACACATTACACTAAGTGACAACACGTTCAAACAAAACACAATACACAAAACACAACAATAAGGACATCCTACCACAGTGAATACAAACCAAATACGATTAACAACTACAACAATTACAGAGAAATACAAACAACTGCAACAAATACAAAAACAATTACAGAGAGAGAGAAGAAAAAACACAACACCCAAAACACAAACAAAAGGAAACCAACAGTCATGGATGCGTAATGTCATTTACTTCACTTCACTTCACTGCAATTTTTTTTCTTTTTAATTATTTCCACCCCAACTTCACTTCGCCTCATTTATCACTTTCCTAACCCTTTGCCTAAAATTGCTTGGTTTACAGGACAGAGTACCTAAAGCATCTGCAGGTAGTTGGTTCCAGAGCTGTATGGTCCTATTTACAAAGGAGTATTTCCCGATATCTGTCCGTTGCTTTCTACTCCTAATTTTCTTGCCATGATCACCCCTGCTCAGATAGCATGGTGTTTCTAATCTGTCACCTACAGCCTTCCAAGCCCGTTCTCCCTTGTATGCTTTGAAGAGAGCACGTATGCGAGCTATCTTTCTGCGCTCTGTCAAGGTTTCCCAGTTCGATTCGTTCCTATGGTGTGCAAATTTAGCCGCTTTCTTTTGCACCCGGTCTAACGCATTTACCTGTCCCTCCCTGTAAGGATCCCAGTACACCGCCCCATATTCCATAATTGGATGCACTAAAGATGTGTATGCTAGACTTTTAGTTTTGCTATTTCCCTTTTTAGAATACGCATTGTAAAGTGAAGTGCCTTCCAGGCTCTTTTCACAGTGTAAAATCTTGATCAGACCAGCTTAGGTCGCTGTGTAAAATTATTCCCAGATATTTACAGCTGCTAGCTTCTGGGATTACTGTGCCCCCTAACGAATAATTTAGTGACTCCATTACTCGAGCCCTCGTGAAACGAACTGCCTTACTTTTAGTTGGATTAATTTTCATCTCATTTTCATCCGCCCATTTCCAAAGTCTGTTGAGATCTATCTGCAACTTTTCCTTATCATTATTACTTTTAATTTTCCTATATATTATACAGTCATCCGCGAATAGCCTAATAGTTGACTCAATATTTCTCCAAATATCATTGACGTAGGCGAGGAACAGTAGTGGGCCCAGCACACTTCCTTGCGGTACTCCTGACGTTGTTCTGACTTCCTCCGATAGTTGCCCTCCCACTTTGACTCTCTGCGTACGGCCCAAAAGGAATTCCCTTATCCATATAACTACCCTTGAGTCCACTCCTGAGGCCGCAATTTTCGTAAGCAGACGATCATGACAAACTAAATCGAAGGCCTTCGAAAAATCTATTACAATTGTGTCTATCCTACTTCCGTTATCCAGTGAGTCTGCAGTGTCTTGGTAGACCGTGATTACTTGACTTTCACATGAATATCCCGGCCTGAAGCCATGCTGACCCTCAAATAACCAATCATTTTTATCCCATATTTTCCTCAGGTACGATGCTATAACGTGTTCCATTTGCTTGCATACTACTGAGGTTAAACTGACGGGTCTATAATTGGAGACCAGCGATCCATCACCTCCCTTGTAAACAGGAACCACTATGGCCTGTTTCCAATCACTTGGAATAGCGGCATTATTAATTGTCACATCCAGTAATCGCGCCAGGTATGGAATCATGGCTTCCCCACCCAGTTTTAGAAATTCACCAGAAATGCTGTCTGGCCCTACTGATTTGTTCTTTTTCGTACTAACTGCGAAGGGTTTCCCTGAGATATCGTGCTGTATTTGCGGGATGCTACGCTCACTGCTGAATACGGAAGAATAATATAAGTTGAGAAAGTTAGCCTTTTCTATCGAATAAGTCACGAGTCGTCCATTAACATCTTTGATTGCAGGAATATTTTCCCTATTTCCTTTGCGTCTTTTTACATACTTATAGAACTCAAGTAGTTACTATAGGATTCTGACGATGGTGTATAACACACTGATATATTGTGTTTCTGGACTTTATCCATCGTCCATCGTCGTGTTTTTGTTATCTTAAAAACTAGGACGATGGATAAAGTCCAGAAACCCAATATATCAGTGTGTTATAGAACTCAGTCCAGCAGTTACATTCATTTTTTAATACAGTCCTTAAAAATATCTCCTGCGCATTTTGCTTGGCTAATAACAACTGCTTGGACAATCGCTTCAGTTCCTCTTGATACTGCTGCCCTAATTTTCTTCTATTATATGCTTTCCTGACCTTTAATTTTATTTCTTTCACTTCCTTATTGTAGTAGTTAGGGTCTGATTTTTTCTGAGTATTCTATGTGGAATAAATCTTTCGATACACTGAAGTATTATGTTCTTGAAATTATTCCATACTTCCTCAACGCATCCACCATTGCTTGCCCATATTGCAAATTTATCCTGGAGAAAAGTTTGTAGACCTATGGTATCTGCTTTGTGGTACACCGGTACCAGTCTTTCTACTTCTGGTCGACAGTATGTTTCTTCCCATTCTACTTCTAATAACACCCCACAATGGTCACTGATCCCTTGTATAACGCTGCAAGAGGTAAACAGGTTTTCCGGCCGGACTAAGTATACATCCAGCAATGCATCCCCTCGTGTCGAGTTGTTTACTACCTGCGTGTACCCACTTTCCCACACCAATCTATTTACAGATTCCTGACCTCCACTAGTGCATTGCACGTTTCCATTCCAATCGGCGTAGGGCAAGTTTAAGTCTCCTGCAATAATGCTACGCTTTGTAAAATTTCCTAAAGAATCGGCTCGGGCTGCCAGTCTTTCTATAACCCGCATATCCTCATTCGGAGCTCTGTAGATGCCTACAATTTCCCATGTACATTTAGGGTCTCTGCCTTTCACTTCAACTGCAATCATTTCGAAATCCTCGTCCACCCATAGTTCCACGCAAGCAATGTAATTCTTTACACAAATAAACACTCCACCACCTCGAGTATTCCTATCTCTCCTGAAAGTTGTGTACTCGTCCCTAAAAACTTCGGCATTGATAATTTCCTCTCTGAGCCATGACTCCGTAGTTATGATAACATCGGGATTATATGTATCAATTAAATTCCAAAATTCTAAAGATTTATTAAGAATACTCCTGCAATTTACCTGAAGCAAAACCAAAGAATTGCCCTCTATCTTCTGTGCCCCTCCCGTAGCTACACATCCATCACTTGTGTCTTCCTGTCTTCTTGTCGCCGCCCCGGTTAGCGTCGGATCCTCGTTAATCGTGTTCGTCATCCTTCCAGGCGTTCCCTCATTGTTAACCCTCAGCAGCAGTCACTCGTTCCGATTTTGCACTCGGCCGCCGAAGTCACACACTCTGGAATACAGCTGGCTTAGTTTCCTCGCTCCGCTACTGTTTATGTGTAGTCCATCCCTGCCGAAGTCCCAGTCCTCAATCCAACTGTTTGGGTCCACAAATGTAACTCCTAGTGACCTCGCTACCCAGTCATATCTGTCGTTTAGTGCTCCAATACGCCGCCACGACACGTCTCTGCGCCTAAGTACGCCACTCAGAACTAAAGTGGCTTGAGGAAACTTAGTCTTAGCCTTCTTCACCAGAGCATATACATCACCCATCACATAATCCAGATTTCCAGTTCGTCTTAGATCGTTAGTGCCTACATGAATTACGACAGTATCAGGGGCCCCTAGATCTCTGTTGTCTATGACTCGCTGCAGTTGCTCAGTTCTAATTCCTGGAAAACACTGTACCCTCATATGTTCAGCTTCCACATTGCGTATAATGGAGTCACCCAACACTAAGCACTCAGCATCTTGTTGTCTCTGCACCGTATCACCCCTGGCAACCGCTCCTCGTAACTGATCTTCCATCGCACTGTTCTTCCGTTTAAGTTCTTCAATCTGCTTCATTGCATTCTCCAGTTTCTCCTCCAGTTGTCGAAGCCTGCCCCACCTGCACCTCTCACAACTCCACTTCCCGCTCTCTGCCATTTGGGCCCTTACATTGCCACAGCTGTTGTGAAACCAGCGTCCACATGTGTCGCACTGTGTTCCCGATTTCAGGTTCCTCTCACACCCGCTACGCAATACTTGTAGAATGTTCTCAGCCTCCACAACGGCACCAGGGTTTTGCTCCACACCGCCGATTACTAATACTGCTAGAGCTGCTGCGCATAGAAGCATGTTGCCTATGTAGCTTCTTGCTTGTCCGTTCATCTCCCGGCCTTGGACATGGCGCCAGGGGGTCCTTGAAGGCCAGTCGCCCACACGAGCTCGATAGTCCTCCAGGTAGCAACCCATTTCTATAAACTCTCCGGAAACACGACCGCTCTCGACAACACTTCAGGTACAACTCAAACAAACGTTTGGTAATGAAAGTTTACACGAAATCAATAATGATAATGGCGTTAGGGTAGTAAACTTTGCCACATTCCCACATCGCAACATCCATAAATTAACATGGGCATCTCCTGATGGGAAGATACACAATCAATAGACCATATTTTGATAGACAGGAGACGGCACTCAAGTATACTTGATGTCCGATCATTCAGGGCAACAGATTGTGATACTGACCACTACCTGGTGGTGGCAAATGTTAGGGAAAGACTGGCAATGAACAGACAAACAACACACAGAGTTCATATGGAGAGGTTCAATCTCAAAAAATTAAATGAGGTAGAGGGTAAAGAGCAGTATTGTGTTAAAATCTCAAATAGGTTCGCAGTTTTGGAGAACGTGGAAACTGAGGTGGATGTTAATAAAGGTTGGGAAACTCGTAGAGAGAATATCAAATTTCTGCCAAGGAGAGTTTAGGTTATTATGAACCGAAGAAGCATAAGCCATGGTTCGATGAACCAAAGGAAACAGCCAAATTGCAGTGGTAACAGGGTCCAAGCGAAATACATAGGGATAATCTGAACAATATAAGACATGAAACCAGTAGGCATTTCAGGAATAAAAAGAACGAATATCTGTAAGACAAAACTGCTGAGATTGCAACAAACAGTAAAATCAAGAATATTAGGGATCTCTATAGAGGAATAAATCACTTCAAGAAGGGTTACCACCCTAGAAGTGACTTAGTGAAGCATGAAAATGGTGATCTGCTTGCAGATTCCCACAATATTTTGAATAGATGGAGGAACTACTTCCCTCAGTTATTGAATGTACATAGGGTCAGTGATGTTAGGCAGACAGAAATACGTACAGCTGAACCGTTAGTACCTGATCCTATCCCTTTTGAGGCTGAAAGTGCTATTGCAAAATTGAAACGGTATAAATCGCCAGGTAGTGATCAAATTCTGGCAGAACTGATTCTATCAAGAGGCAAAATATTACGTTCTAAGATCCATAAGCTAATTATTTCTATTTGGAATAAAGAAGAATTTTCTGATCAATGGAAGGAACCCTTTACTGTCCCAGTGCACAAGAAGGGCGATAAAATTGACTGTAGTAATTATTGGGGGATATCACTGCTATCAACTTCATACAACATTTATCCAATATTCTTCTCTCAAGTTTAAGTCCATATATGGATGAAATTATTGGGGATCATCAGTGTGGGTTTCGACGTAACAGATCAACTACAGATCAGATATTTTGCATTCGTCAGATATTGGAGAAAAAATGGGAGTACAATGAGACAGTACATCAGCTAGTCATGAACTTCAAGAAAGCCTATGATTCAGTTAGGAGGGAAGTACTGTACAATATTCTGATGGAGTTTGCGATACCCACAAGACTGGTTAGGCTGATTAAAATGTGTTTAAACAAAACGTATAGTAAAGTAAACATTTGTCTGATAGATTTCCTATCCAGAATTGTCTGAAACAAGGAGATGCTTTTTTGCCACTGCTTTTCAACTTTGCCTTGGCATATGCCATTAAGAAGGTCCAGGGAAGCTGGGTGGGGCTCAAATTAAATGGGACACATCGGTTGTTGGTCTATACTGATGATGTGAATCTACTGGGTGATAATGTAGATACCATAAAGAAAAACACACAAACTTTAATTGACGCAAGTAAAGAAGTTGGTCTAGAAGTAAACACAGAGAAAACTAAGTATATGTTATTCTGTCCTCACCAAAATGCTGGGCAAAATCATGACATAAAGATAGGAAACAGATGTTTTGAAAATGTGGCAAAGTTCAGATATTTGGGAACAACGATAACAGGTCGAAACATGATTCAGGAGAAAATTAAGAGGAGATTGAACTCGGGCAATGCTTGCTACCATTCAGTCCAGAACCTGTTGTCTTCTCGTCTGCTGTCCAAAAACATAAAAATGAGAATATACAAAACTATAATTTTGCCTGTGGTTCTGTTTGGGTGTGAAACTTGGTCTCTGACAGTAAGGGAGGGGCATAGACTGAGGGTGTTTGAGAACAGGGTGTTGAGGAGAATATTTGGACCAAAGAGAGATGAAGTGACAGGAGGTTAGAGAAAACTGCACGATGAGGAGCTTCGTAACTTGTACTGTTCTCCAAGTATAATTAGAATGATCAAGTCAAGGAGGAGGAGGTGGGCAAGGCATGTAGCACGAATGGGGGAGATGAGGAATGTGTATAGGATATTGGTGGGAAAGCCAGATGGAAAGAAACCACTTGGGAAGACCAAGGCGTAGGTGGGTAGACAATATTAAAATGTATGTTAGAGAGATAGGATGGGATGGTATGGATTGGATTGATCTGGCTCAGGATGGGGACCAGTGGAGGGCTCTTGTTAACACGGTAATGAACCTTCGGGTTCCATAAAATGCTGGAAATTTGAGAAGCTGCAGAATTTGCAGCTTCTCCAGAAGGGCTCAGCTCCATGAGTAAGTAAGTAAGTTAGGTTAGCCTGGAGGCGGTTTGCGTATGGTGGCTAAGAAAATATGTCAGCCCTGCCTGGAATCAAACCTGGCCTTCCAGCCCGTACCCAGTTGCTAACCCTCACTGAGCTATCCTTGCAGATAAGCATAGGTCTGTCACGAGATGTAAACACGCTAAGATAACTCACTAAAACACTGTTTGTTGACAGGGACAGTTCGTGTTAATCCTGGGCTATCTCATTTTTACCTTGGCCTCGGACTGTCACCTTCCAAGACAGCTTAGCATCTTATTCAGTATAAACACTTGCATCCTGCTGGGCCTGTTCACGAACTTCTATCTCCAAACGTACAAGAAGAGGAAGGAACTGGACTAAAGGCAACTTTCTTGTAAAATTTTAAACGGTCAAATGAAGAAATGGAGCAGGCCAGTCACTCTTCGTGGATAACTACTGCGTTCTAAGCCATGCCACGGAGACTGACTGGAAGGTCATTTCGTTGGTATACTTGCAACGGAGCGAATCATCTCTGGTTCGACCGAGAGGTGAGATACCCCCCGCCTTTGAAATTGGCTTCTGCGCCTGAACGGATATGCTCACACATCCCATCCCACAGCCAAGTCATAGCTGTAACTATTGTAACTGATGCTTTAATGGTCATTGTTTACTCATTAAGTATACAGTTATGATTTCTCGCCAATTTAGCATCATAATCCTGTAGAGATTAACTGCAAGTGAATATAATGTTTATTTAGTACAATGGAGGAATCCATTCACTGTAGTCTTAATTATATTATATTTATAATTCCTTCTGCCGGATGCGTCTGTTATACTTTTACTGGATTATTCCCTCAGTAACCCATGAAGTAGCTATGTTTAGGGTAGCAAAAGTATGAGCGCCATAGCTCAAGCTGTTAGCCGCTGGCTTCCCAACGCGACGGCCCGGGTTCGATCCCGGGTCTGGTTAAGTGCGATTTGTGGTGGACGAAGTGGCGCTGGGGCGGGTTTTTCCCCAGTACTTCGGTTTACCAATCTTCATTCCACTAAATTCTCCATCATCATAATCACCCGGGGCAGGTACAATAGGTCAATCAGTGGATCCAGCTGGACTCCACCCCCCACTAAGCGAATTTTTTTATTTTAAAGAGGAAATTTACATCTGGATGGTTGTGAGACAGGGTGGTCACCTATGTAAGTAAAAGTAAAGTAAAGCTATCCCTGTAACAGGCCGTGAAGGCCCATAGGGTTGTGAGACGTTGAGGGTCCCACATTATCTAGACAATCGGCTCAAAGATGGCGCTAAGGTTGACAGCCTTACGCACCGGCCGCGCTTTACTCCCCAGGAAAATTATTTAATTAAGCACTATGGCCCTGGGGTTCACTCAGCCTCTAACAGAAATGAGTACCAGAATGTTACCTATGTGAACAGTGAAATTCCCACAGCCGTGGTTGTGTTAGTGTGTGCTGGGATGTGACGTAGTGACTGACTTAACTCACAGCTTGCAAATTTTGCCTGTGCCCTAGCAGCTGGCAGTACACCACAGAAAATGCATGCTCCAGGTAAGGGTTCAGTTCCGATAATCCTTATGGAAATCAAATTTTACATATGCTGGAAACTGTCGTAAGTACATTTGTCATATTTTGATGGCGCTCCACAAAAAAAAAAAA